GGGGGATGTCAGAGATCGGTCTCCCAAGGATCCCTGGTCCTGAGAGCTCACACCTCGGTATAATATTGAAACTGAGAAGACTCTGGGCATCGATGGGACTCTGCTCGCCCTCATGCGCAGTACCAGGAAGATGACTAGGGCTTGCTCTGAAGACGAGGGCTGTTCATATCAGCCATCCCGCTCCCTGTGTTACTGGGAGGATTGCTCCTCCCCATACCTGGTGTGCTGTTCATGTTGCGGGACTCATTACCATGATTTTTCACTCCCCATCAAGAACAAGCTATCCAGGGATCGGTCCCCACATCTGCTTCCACCTCCACCGACGTATAGGACGGTCAGCACACTCACAGCCTTCAGAAACGGTCTCTAAACCACTGAGGTTGGCCAGACATTCCTGTGTGTGCTACCCAGCTACTACTTAACATTATTGAAGCATTTGCAGTCAGTACCTGAACTTCTGCTCGACTGGCCACACTGCCACCCTCCGCTGACATCACGCATTGAGTACTGTGGCTCCCGCCAGTGGCAATATTGCAATGGCCCTTCCAGCTTCGATACAGAAACTTGCACCAAGCACTGTAGCCCCACCAAAGCCAGGGATCCATAACCCGTCACGGTGTTCTTCTCACGTTCTCCATTGAGATCATCGTGGTCTTCATCTGGGCTACCTGCCCCTCCCATTGGCATCGAAGGGTGAATCGGATAGCTGGTCTGCTGGGAATGAATCCGATGTTCTTATACGTCCACCGCTACTTATTTCCTTCAGGGGGATGGTCTGCTTTATGTTGAACGAGCAATAAGAATGGTCTTGTATATATAGGGGGAGCCGTGTCATTCAAGACAGAGCATTCAAGACAGGCTTGGTAATTTGTGATTCCCTTTGGGGGCAAAGAAACTCCCTGGCCTTCCGGCCACTTCCCGACTCCCGCAGATCCACGGCTCTTGCTTTCCACGAGGAAGTGGCGAGGATCACAAAACAACAAATGTGGTCGGCAAAGCTCATTGCTGATTGTGGCTCCGGGCAGTTGGTTGCAGTGGTAGCTTTGAGATGACATGCTTGGCTACAGCTCCTTGGGTCTCACGGGAAGCCAGAGTACACATCAAAGACCTTATGGTGAAAGAATCCCCCTTCAGTGCCAAGACGAATGACTCCTGGGAAAGAATCCTTCAGCTGGGAACCACTGTGAAGTCAGTGGGCCACAACACTCCCATGTATCCCGAGGCTCCAGACATTGGCAGATGGCCACCAGGCAACCTTGGGGGAGCTGCAAGGGCTGGTCTGTTGGGTTCTGTTGGGACCCCTGACCTATAGGAAATTTTTCCTGTCTGGTTGCCATTCATCATTGAGGACCCAATTGTCTTCTCACAACAAACCCTCTTCTGGAATACACCCCCCCCCCCGGTTTTGGAGTCATGCAGTGGACCTCCTCCTACCTTTGGCAACATCTCCAAGCCTGGGAATCAGTCACTTCAGACCACTGGCTCCAAACCACAAAATGACTAGGATACTCAGGGTTTGTTCGCTTCCGTCCTGCCCCACCCACCCTCTCCCATTCTCCTCCTTTGGAAGGAAGCTGTAGAGCCAGTGCCAGGCTCCCAGAGAGGCCGAGGGTCTTGTTCTCAGTTATTTGGTTTTGTAGAAGGACTGAGGCGTCCATGCCATCCTCTGTCTCAGGCGCATCTACCAGTTTGTCAAGACAAGGAAGTTCCACGTGGTGCCCCTGGCTACCATCTTGCCAATCCTGTTGGTGGGAGCATGGTTTACGTCCAGAGACCTCAAGGGAACCTATTACTACATATATCTGTTCAACTTCAACAGCATCGATTCCTCAAATTTGTGTCAGGCAACCATCACTTCCAGTACGAAGGATTACTCTTGGGCCTTTCTGCTTCACTGAGGGTGTTCGCCGAGAGCATGGCAATAGTTGCAGCTCACCTGAGGCATCTCGGATCACGTTTTTCCCCATGCGTAGACTGGTTCCTAACGGCGTTCTCCTACTCAGCTCTCCTACCCTGGGGTTACGTGTCAATGGAGAGAAGTTGCGTTATCGAGCCTTTCCAGAGCAGCCTGTTCGTGGAAGCCACCGTGGCCTCCATAACAGTAAAAGCTTTCTCGTGAAGCCTATCAGAGTGAATGCACAGGTGACCTCTTGAACAACAGGTACTGGTAAGCTACCTGTTCTCTCTGTGCTATTTTCTGCCAGTGCAACAGTGAGCCTATTCCATCTCGAGCTCCTCAGCTCTAATCCAAGTCACACACACCCTCCCCCAGTAGGTTTTTACAGTTAAAATACTTTTCAGGAGATCCACTCTTAGTATTACGTGTGAAGGGACTTTGTTTGTTTGGTGGAGCACTTCGTCATGTGAGCGTGCCCCTCCCCCATCTGAGGCGCTGGAGCCTAGTTGCAGGTTCTACTACCCCTGAGCAATGTTCCCTCTAGGCTGTGGAGTCTTGTGAGCAAAAGTTCTACTTTGTGAGCTACCGGCATTAAAGTTGTGAGCGAGCAATTTGGCTGCTGCATCAATTAGTTTGCTCTGGAGCCCTCCTTCCTGAGCGAAGACAAAAATGTCTGAGCCAGAGGCTAAAAAACTGTGAGCCAGCTCACCCTAACTCAGCTTAGAGGGAACACTGCCCCTGAGACCTTTGGTCAGAGTCACAGTATGGAATTCCAGCATCTTACAATGATCAGACCCAGGGGTGGTGTCTCTCCCAGAAGAGCAGGGCAGGTGACGTGCTGTTTAGAATATGTGGAATGTTCCTCTTCCATCACACTGCCTGCCTAATAAGAAAGGAACTTGTACTGTTTTCCAGAATGTGGCTGATCTGAGATCAGTAGTGATCATCTTTTTTGCCAGGAGTGCCACTACATGCCAGGGTCCTTAGCCAGGTTACTCAACACAGGGCTTTGTGAGAAGATAACTGTTTATTGGTAAATCCAGTACTAGAGACACGTGTACAGCTTGTGTCAGGAATGGCCGCCAATACTAGGGCCTCTGACTTATACTAGAATCAAACATTCCTCCGGTAAGCATGAGCCAATGGATACATCTCGCGCGTGCGGGCAGAGCAAGCAGGAAAAGCAAAGGCTGTTAACTTTCCCAGCCGAGTAAAACTGCAGCTGGAGCATCTACAAGGTCAAGCCTAAGATAGCAAACAGTTGGTGAGCCAGGGAGAGCTGAGACAGAAAACAGTAGGGCACCCCTCCACATTCCAGGCCTATGACAGGGCTACCTGACATCACAGTAGCACAAATTGTTACCATAGTGTGTGGTGCGCATGTATACGTGTGTGTGTGTACGCACATCATACATTCTGGTGTGTGTTTGTGTATGTACACACACACACACACACACTTGTTCCACAAGTTTGACCAGCCATATCCTCTAGACCTTTTTGAGTCTGCGGGCACCTTTGGAATTCTGACACTATGTGGTGAATGCAGCCACAAAATGGCTGCCGAAGGAGGCGGAGGCAGAGCCAGCCACAAAATGGCCACCGCAGCTCATCGTCAGTCATACCATAAAGATCCTTGTGTCGTGCCAAAGTGCCATGTTTTTAAAGAATCTGCACAGCCAATCAAATCTCCCAATGGTCAATAGCCCCGCCTGGCTCCGCCCACTTTAAAAAAACACTTGGTGGGTGCCAGAAGGCAGAGTTGGCAGGTGCCACGATGCCCACGGTCACACCGCATTGGGGAGCCCCTGTGCTAGGTCAGATTGGTAGCTGTGGGCATAGGTGGCAACCAAGATCTGCTCCTGTTTCCTGTAGTAAGGCAGATTTCTTGAGAAACTCCCAAGAAGTGGGTTTCCATTCCCTTTGCTGTGGATCCCCCGGTGTCCCTCACCCTCTCCTCGCACAGAAACCACTGAAAAGAGCAGCCAGGCCATATGCTGGTCCTCGCCAGCAGCCCTTGAGCCTAGTTTGAATTCTGCTGAGCAGCTCAGCTCCAAGAGAATCCCCGCAGAAGCGTAATTTTAGCAGTCCCGGGGAGGGTCTTCCTGAGGAAGTGTGATTGCTTTTTTTTTTTCCTCCCCCTTTTGCATGTCGACTAACCTGTTGAATCTCTCTCCCTTTTCTGTTTGTCCCCCCCCCCCCATTTTTTATTTTATTTTACCGCTTCTCTTTTTGGGAATCTCCCTTCCCCCACCTTGCACTGTCTGCATGCCGCAGGACGGGGCTCTTCACACCTGACATGGCGTTTGAAGCCATAGTGAAAAAACAGGTCATAAAGCTCAAAGAGCCCAGTTTGAAGTGTGTTGATTTGGTGGTCTCAGAGCTGGCCATGGTCATTAAAAAGTGTGCAGAGAAGGAAATGGCTCTCTCTTCTTCTCTCCCTCCCTCCCACCCCCCACCCCCCCTAATCGCCCTACCTCTTGCTAACACCCGGAACATGGCTTCTTGCAGTGTCCATTAAGGAGATCCTGGGGTATTCAAGGGAGGGCAGATACCCTTGCCTTGGCCACCTTGGTTGCTGGGGGGGCGCCTCTGCACCGCTGTTGCTTGGCACAGAGCCTCGGGGCACCGTCCCCGTCACAATTGCTCTTCTGAGCAGCTCCGTGTCCAAGGATGTCACATGTTGATTGAAGAGTACGGGTCCATCCTTTTGTGAGGATGCTCTTTGGTACAAACATAATAATATAAACATGGCAGTGCTCCCCCAGTCACTTGTGGTAGCCCTGTGTGATTAATCCCACAGCAAGCAGCTTTCATTCCGCCCGAGACACTAACCAGCCAGCCTAGTTTGTCTTCCTTCTATTAAACTCCGCAAGGGACTTGGGCTGCTTCCCTCAGGTGGGCCCTTGGGGAACCCGGAGCTCAAATTAAACCCTGCAATAACGTGTCTTGGGTTTTCCCTGAAGGGACTGCCAAGTTCCTTATTGGCGCATTGGTCTCCCCAATGGGTAAAACTGGGAGGCAGCCCCGTCCCACCCCTCTCCCTCTGTGTGTCTGAGTGAGGCTTAAGGCTGCCGAAATCTGAACTCTCCTCGCTTGCCTTTAGCTTGGCTCTTACCCCAGGCTGCGTGAAGAGACGGAGAGAATTGTCACAACGCACATCCGGGAGCGTGAAGGAAAAACCAAGGACCAGGTGAGTGGCTTCCCTCATCTGTCCCGCAGGGGAAAAAAAAAGAGAGAGAACCTTTGTGGATTGACTCAGCATAATAGAGTCGAAATTGCTTCTATTCCTGTTCGCCGAGCACTCAAAAGGACTCCGTTTCTCCCGACTGCATCACTGATGCAACAAAGCGAACCATCGTTCAGTCTCTAGAAAGCTGAGTTTGTTTTCTGAGCAGGGACAAAGTATGCAAGGGGTAGGGATGGGTATGAACCAGGAAAATGGAGGTTAGTGGCGTTTCGTGGTCTGTGGGGTCTCACGAGCCAGGACGAACCTTCCCCGCTTCACGAATCAGTTCGAGGTTCATGGATCGTGAGGCGGTACGCTTGCAAAAGCCATTTAAAGGGTTCCCTTTAAACTGAGCTGCAAAGAGGAGCTAGCCCAGGATCGCACAGGGCAGTGAGAGCTGACAGCTGAGAACTGACAGGATCTGTGTCTGGGGTGTGTGTGTGTCGCTCCCCGCCAAACACAGACCTGGCTCGAGGAGCCCACCAGCCGAGGCGGCACAGAGCTGTCAGCTCTCACCGCCTCGTGTAATCCTGGGCCGGCTCCTCTTTGCAGACCTCCAAGTCAGATCTGGGGGCGGCGGGGAGAGACCTCTCCCCCCCCACAGATCCTGGGGGGCCAGATTTATTTATTTGTTGTCTTTACTGTTTTTTTGCAACTGGAGTCACAAACAGCAAACTCATCCCACAATAAACCTTGTTTCACAGAAAAAACACGGTAGAATTTAAAGGTCGCCACGGCGAAAGTTGTTGTGTGATTGAAATCCCTTCTCAGTTGACTCGCTGAGTCGTGCGGCGGTCAACGAGTCAATTGAGAAGGCCTTTAAATCCATTCTCAGTTCACTTGTGAGTCGTGCTGCAACAGCGGCAGCACAGCTTGAAAAAAACCTATTTAAAGGGATCCCTTTAAATGGCTTTTGCAAGTGGCTTGGAGAAGGCATTTAAAGGGACCACAGTCTCTTTAAATACTTTCTCCAAGATCCGCTGCCGGCGCCAGGAAGTCTTCCCATACAAACCCACTGGGGGGTGGGGTTCATGGGGCTCATGAGGGCGAGATGGGCACAAACCAAGGTTTGCAAACCATGAACCGGGCTTGGTTCGTGACGAACTTTGGTTTGTAATTCGGTTCATCACTATCCCAGAGAGTCTGATGAATAACTAACCCGAGCATTGAGTCCAGTGGCACCTTTTAAGACCAACCAAGTTTTATCCTGGGTCTAAGCTTTGCGTGCACACAAAAGCTTATACCCCGAGTAAAACTTGGTTGGTCTTCAAGGTGCCACCAGACTCAAACTTTGTCCTGCTGCTTCAGACAAACATGGCTACCCACCTGAATCTATCTCCTGAGCATCTTTATTGTTAAGTAGCTTCCCCCGTTGGATTGGGGCCTCGATTGAAGATCAAGTGGTTAATTCTGCCATTCTCCCAATCTCAAGCATCTCTTTAGACTGAGCTTCTCTTTGCCCCTCTGGAAGCAACCAACATTTTGTCTTACAGCTAGCCCAGTCTCGTCACATCTCCGAAGCTGAGCAGGGTCGGCCCTAGTTAGTATTTGGATGGGAGACCTCCGAGGAAGTCTAGAGTCACTGCACTTAGGCGGGCAATGGCAAACCAGCTCTGAACTTCTCTTCCCTTGAAACCCCTGTTGGGTCACCATAAGGACATAAGGGAAGCCCTGTTGGATCAGGCCAATGGCCCATCCAGTCCAACAGTCTGTGTCACACAGTGGCCAAAAACCAAGTGCCATCAGGAGGTCATACAGCGGGGCCAGAACTCCAGAAGCCCTCCCACTATTGCCCCCCAGGCACGAAGAAGACAGAGCATCACTGCTCCAGACAGGGTGTTCCATCTAGACCTGGGGTGTCAAACTTGCAGCCCGGGGGCCAAATCAGGCCCCCGGAGGGCTTCCATCAGGCCCGCAGTGGAACTGGCCAGCTCCTGCTTCCAGTTGTGCTGCTGCATCATAGCTTCCTTCTCCAGACTCTCTTAGTCACTCAGCCATTTCATGTTTTAACCTGGGTCCTCATCGTGGCCCCAGTACAAATAAGGAGGCTTGTCTGCATGACTGCCGTCTATCAGGGTCCTTAGTCAGGTTACTCAACACAGGGCTTCATAAGAAGATAACTGTTTATCCAGTACTAGAGACACGTGTACAGCTTGTGTCAGGAATGGCCGCTAATACTAGGGCCTCTGACTTATACTACAATCAAACATCCCCCCCTGTAAGCATGAGCCAATGGATACATCTCTCGCGTGAGGGCAAAGCAAGCAGGCAAAGCAAAGGCCGTTAACTTTCCCAGCCGAGTAAAACTGCAGCTGGAGCATCTACAAGGTCAAGCATAAGATAGCAAACAGTTGGTGAGCTAGGGAGAGCTGAGACAGAAAACGGGAGGGCCCCCCCCCCCCCACATCCCAGACATATGACAGGGCTACCTGACACTGTCGACCAATGAAAAACAACATTTGGGAGTTATCTCCTAGCATTTCATCTTGCTTGCGCCCGAGGAGCTCTGTGCTCAGGTACAATGCACGCGGGGTGCTTGGCTTTTCTTTGGCCAGGGCATCAGCCAGTCAGCTCCTGCTTTAGTGGCCGGCTGGGCCAGCCGCACTTGCTGTGTTCCCCTCTTCCAGTCTCAGGTCCGGCCACGTGGGCGGCAGAGAATTGCAGATCCCAAACCAGGTCTTGTTTGAAAGGAGCTGCCCACTAGCGCAGTCGCGGCACAGATTGACCGGGCTCGCTGCACAAGGGCAGACTCTGACGTGCCAATCCCAGAGGGGCTGAGACGACAGTTCTTCCCTGGAATCGAAAGGGCTTGGAGCTCTAGGGTAGCTGGGCACTTCCCTTGGCAACGTGGTAGCAAAAGGCCTGGTCACTTCTGGGCACAGCATGCACATTTTGAACTGTTGCAGTGCAGCTTCTTTGGGCCAAGCAGAATGAAAAATCCTGTGAAAACATGGATGCTGACTTAGAAGAAGAAGAGATTGGGTTTATACCCCGCCCTTCACTCCCCAGAGGAGTCTCAGAGCAGCTTACGAGCTCCTTTCCCTTCCCCTCCCCACAACAGACACCCTGTGAGGTGGGTGGGGCTGAGAGAGCTCTTGACAGAAACGGCTCTTTTTCAAGGACAGCTCTTATCAGAACTATGACTTGCCCAAGGCCATCCAGCCAGGTGCAAGCGGAGGAGTGGGGAATCAAACCCGATTCTTCCAGATTAGAGTCCGCGCACTTAACCACTACACCAGACTGACTTAGAACATTTCAGTTACAGTCAATGCACTTGTAGTCACAGAGCTTCTTTTCTGGCATGTGAAATCGCTTCATTCTCCAAGATATAAGGACAGAGGGACTCACATTCTAGCTGTATCTGAAGAAGTGAGCAGTGACTCCTGAAAGCTCATGTTAGTCCTTAAGGTGCTCCTGGACTCTTGCTCCCTTCCAGCACAGCGACCCTCCGAAACAGTCACCTTCCTGCAGTTAAGCATTGTTGAACTGAGTTGACTTGTTGCTGGTCCGCTGAACTTGTCTTGTATCGTTCCCCTTCTCAGATCCTCCTGCTGATTGACATAGAGCTGTCCTACATCAACACTAACCACGAAGACTTCATTGGATTTGCCAAGTGAGTGTCTGTTCCCAAGTAAAGGCCTAGCAAAGGGGAGGAGCCTTTTGTGGCCACAGAGTAGCACAGGAAACTGAGAGATCACAGACATGTGAGGATAAGAAACTCCTGCTTGAAATCTCTTAAGTGGGTAGCTTACTAATTAGAAGCAATTCTTACCTCTGTCTTCCCAACAAGTGCAAACGTCCTCTGTGCAAAAGAGAGAGGGCACGCAGCATTTCCATTTGTTCTTGAACTTGTATCCCTACCCCGTTTTAAAGTCTCAGGACTAGTAGTGCCGCGTGACGGAGTGAGCTCCCGTCTCCGTCTCCTGCCAACCTAGCAGTTCGAAAGCAAGAAATTGCAAGGAGATAAATAGGTACCACTTTGGTGGGAAGGTAACAGTGTTCCGTGCACCTCTGCGTTTAGTCATGCTGGCCACATGACCATGGAAACGTCTCTGGACAGCACTGACTCTTTGGCTTGGAAACGGAGATGAGCACCACCCCCTAGAGTTGGATTCAACTGGCTTTCGGGCAGGGGAAACCTTTACCTTAAGTCACAATAGACTTGGATGGCCCAGGCTAGCCTGATCTTGCCATATCTTGAAAGTTAAGCAGGGTCAGCCTTGGTTAACATAAGAACATAAGAGACACCAATGTTGGATCAGGCCAAAGGCCCATCCAGTCCAACACTCTGTGTCACACAGTGGCCAGAAATACCAGGTGCCATCAGGAGTTCCACCAGTGGGGCCAGGACATTAGAAGCCCTCCCACTGTTGCCCCCCCCCCCCAAGCACCAAGATGACAGGGCATCCCTTGCCCCAGAGACCCTATCTATACCTTGTGGCTAATAGCCACCGATGGACCTCTGCTCCATATGCCTATCCAATTCCCTTTTGAAGCCGTCCCTGCTTGTAGCCGCCACCACTTCCTGTGGCAGTGATTTCCATGTGTTAATCACTCTTTGGGTGAAGAAGTACTTCCTTTTATCCGTTCTAACCTGACCGCTCAGCAATTTCATGGAGTGCCCACGAGTTCTTGTATTGTGACAAAGGGAGAAAAGTACCTCTTTCTCCACCTGCTCTATCCCATGCATAATCTTATAAACCTCAATCATGTCACCCCCTCAGTCGTCGTTTCTCCAAGTTAAAGAGCCCCAAGCGCTTTAACCTTTCCTCATAGGGAAAGCGTTCCAACCCTTTTATCATTCGAGTTGCCCTTTTCTGCACTTTTTCCAAAGCTATAATATCCTTTTTAAGGTGTGGTGACCAGAACTGCACACAGTACTCCAAATGAGGTCGCACCATTGATTTATATAGGGGCATTATGATATTGGCTGATCTGTTTTCAATACCCTTCCTAATAAGTTAGTCCCTGGATGGGCGAGCACCAAGCAAGTCCAGGGTGGCCACGCAGAGGCAGACAATGGCCAACCACCCCCGAATGTCTCTCGCCTTGAAAACCCCACAAGGTCACCATAAGGTGGCTGTCACTTGACAACAGAAGCAAAAACGAAAGTGATGGGGTGACCGTAAGTCAGCTGTGACTTGAAAGTAAAAGAAAAAAAGAAAGTGACAGTAAAATATGGCTAACTTTGTCTCGTTGGTCTTTTCCTCTGTGCCCAAACTTTTGCATCTATCCCTCTAGCTGTCATAATAAGATGCAATGCAATGATCGATTGATTTCTGGGGATGGTTATAGCAGAGTTTAGTGTTATTTTTCCTAAGGCCCCGGTTCACAAGGTAGTTAGAATAGGATAAAAAAGGTAAAGGTTCCCTTGCTCGAAAGCCAGTCAAGTCCGACTCTAGGGTTGCGGTGCTCATCTCCGTTTCAAAGCCGAAGAGCCAGCGCTGTCCAAAGACGTTTCCGTGGTCATGTGGCCGGCATGACTAAACACCAAGGCGCACGGAATGCTGTTACCTTCCCACCGAAGTGGTCCCTATTTATCTCCTTGCAATTTCTTGCTTTCGAACTGCTAGGTTGGCAGGAGCTGGAACTAGAGATGGGTGCTCACTTCGTCATGCAGCAACTCGGGTCTCGAACTGCTGAACTACTGACCTTCCACAGCCTGCAGTTCAGCTTCTTAACCACTTGAGCCACCGCAGCTCCTTAGAATAGGATACCTTGTGCCAAAACAAAGGTCACCGTTTTTGAGAAACATTGTGGGCCAAGGTCGTAGGAATAGAACTGTCCTTAGATTTGTGTTGGTGCTGGACCTCATTCATGTTTGGAAGAGAAGAGAAACCCTTCCAGCCCCACTGGTCATCTGAGATCCCAGTCCAGCGGGGGGTGGGGGTGGTAAGGTAGCCTGAGCAGCGTGCCCGACTTTCCTTTCTCTCTCCCTGTGTGTGTGTATGTGCGTGTGTGTGTGTTCTGTCTGTCTTCACATGTTGCTCTTCTTCTCAGTCGGCGTGCTCCTTCCTCTTCTCTTCTAATCTCTCTTGTTTTTCCCTTCGCTCTTCCCTCTGGACGCCTCTGCCACCTCTTTCCCCATGGCCCAAGCTGTTTCACTGAGCAGCACATGGCCGCAGGGTGCGTATCTGCCTGTGGGAGTCCCTGCTGTGGCTGGTGTCCGGCTTCTCTCTAACTCTTTGGGGTGTTTGTTCGGGGGGGGGGGATATGGAGACTGGAAGCGATCTTTGCAAACAGGTGTCCACAAATGGGCTGTCCAGGAGGGCCTCTCTCTGGAAAGCAGGGTGCCCGACAGCGCTCAAGGTGTTTGTTTTTGCCGCGCTTTGGAGACGTCAAGGCACAATAAGGTGGTCTGCCGAGGGTTAGGAGGCTCAGGCTTTCTTGCCTTCATATGGGGAGAGGACCTTGCTTCTCCGTCAAGCCCTCCGCATGTCCCAAGTTTGGAAGCCAACTAGTAAGTTGTGGCAGTATTGGTGGATTCCCTCAACGGAGAAACCGCAGTTCGAGGTGGGAGAGGATGCTCCTAGATCTCCAAACCCCCCCCCCCCCCGAGTCTGTATTAGTCAATAATGAGATAGGTTATGAATAGGTTCTACATACACAGAATTTCAACAGAATCAGGTATTGGGGGCAGTGTTCCCTCTAAGCTGAGTTAGTGTGAGCCCGCTCACAGTTTTTTAGCCTCCAGCTCACCCATTTTTGTCTTAGCTCAGGAAGAAGGGCTCCAGAGCAAACTAATTTATGCAGCAGCCGAATCGCCCGCTCACACCTTTAATGCCAGCAGCTCAGAAAGTAGAATTTTTGCACACAAGACTCCACACCTCAGAGGGAGTACTGTTTGGGGGTACTTGATTTGATGAGAAACAGAAGAGTAAGGTGCCTTTTGAAAACATGGCTCAAGTTGCCTGCAAAACGCTCCAGGGACGGCGGGGGGTGGGGGAGACAGAACCTTCCATGGATTGCGTTATTACCCGCCTCTTCCTCTCTCGCGCCTCTGGATACGTCCCGCTCACCCCTCATTCATCTCGCCCGCCAGTACAGATGGCCAAGGGGCGTTCCATTACTACGTTAGAAAGCCCCAAGTACCAGGATTAAAATTCTCAGCCCCTGCTCTGCAGAAGGACTAGAGTCGGTGGGTTCAAATCACGGCACAGTGATGTAGGCTGGATTTTAGAGAAATAAATCTGGATCGGTATGAACAGTGAAACAGGTGGCTTGAATAATTAAGGTCCTTCTGCTTGGAGGTATTTAATGGAGCAGTATTTGTGGAGGGTGGATTTCTATAACCAAGTTTCCCTTCAGCTCTGCTTGGGAGTGAGGATAGCGTCTCTTATCTTAATGGGAGGAGCTTAACATAAGCAAAGCCAGTGTTGGATCAGGCCAGTGGCCCATCCAGTCCAACACTCTGTCACACAGTGGCCAAAAATACAGGGTGCCATCAGGAGGTCCACCAGTGGGGCCAGGACACTAGAAGCCCTCCCACTGTTGACCCCCCCAAGCACCAAGATGGCAGAGCATCACTTGCCCCAGAGTCCCTATCTATACCTTGTGGCTAATAGCCACTGATGGACCTCTGCTCCATAGGTTTATCCAGTTCCCTCTTGAAGCTGTTCATGCTTGTAACCACCAGAGCTTGTCTTCAGTTGCCACGTCTTTTAAATGTGAGGCCCTCCTTAAGCTTGACTGCAGCGGTGGGCGGGAGGGGTCTACAGTCTTAGCGTGCTGTTTGGCCTCAATCAATTTATTAGTACGGTCATTGACCAAATACGTAAAAGAACCGAAAAGACATCAGCCGGTAAAACAGTAAAATGCGTACAGACGCTATCCAGAATATCAAACATTAAAATGTTAGGAATAAAATTAAAGTATTAAAAACTCTAAGTACCATATTCAATATCTAAATGCTAATGGCTTGTCGCTGTTTGGACTCTAGACAAGAGCCCACATGCGTAAGGAACATGCCTTTGGAGGTTATTTTTATTTATTCGATTTCTAGACCTCCTTCCTCTGTGAGACAGGGCTCAGGGCGGTGTACGACAATAAAGTAAAATTCATGCATAATTTCGTCATTAAAAACAATAAATCCGTTAGTTGAACAATTAAGACACTAGTTAAACCAATTAAATTGTGCTAAAATTCAGTTGTGCCCCTGTCTCATAGCCCCAGAAAATAAGTGTGCCAGCCAGGCAAGGACAGGTGAAAAGACAGGGGTGCCAGCCAGATGGAAACCGTCGCTGTCCTCAACCAGATGCCTGATGGAAGATCTCTGCCTTACAGGCCCCGCGGAGCTCCATGAAGTCCCACAGGGCATGGGTGTTATTCGGCAGAGAGTTCCACCAGGTTGGGGCCAGGGCGGAAAGATCCCTGGCTCTGTTCGAGGACAGCTGGATCTCTCTCGGGCCAGGGACCACCAGGAAGTACTTACCCGCAGAGTGCAGGGCTCTTCTGGGGGTATACCAGGAGAGGCGATCCTGAAGCTACGACGGTCCCAGACTGTTTAGAGCCTTAAAGGTTAGCACTAAGACCTTGTACCTGATCCGGTACTCCACCGGAAGCTAGCGCAGGCCATACAGCGCAGGATGAATGTGTGCTGTTCGTGGGGTCCCCGTAAGAACCTGCGTTGCCGCGTTCTGAACCAGTTGGGGTTTCCAGGTCAGCCTCAAGGGAAGCCCTACAGAGAGCAAGGTACAGTAGTCCAATCTGGAGGTGGCTGTTGCATGGATTACTGTGGCTAGGTCAGCTCAGGGCAGGTGGGGAGCCAGTTGCCTGGCCTGGCACAGCTGGGAAAACGCCAGCCTGACATTTGTGATCTGGGCCTCTATCGATAAGGAGGCATCTAAGATCACACCCAGGCTCTTGCCCGTTGGTGCCGGTAATGAGGGCTCGCCATCAGGAGCCGGGAGTTGGCACCCCAAGCTTGAAACCTCTCCCCAACCGCTGGGATCCCCAGCCTGATGTTGGCACTCCCGACGAAACGACAGCCCAGTAATCTAACAAACCCCCCATTCCTTACAGATCTGCCACAATTAATACAATAGCTACAACAGAATATATTAATAAGACTAAAGTATAATAAGAACCGAGGCCTCCCAAATCAAACGCCCTCCCACCCGTACGCCCTTTGACCCACCACTAATAGTAATCTAATCAATACTACGGAGCCTCCTATAATGACTAAAAAGGGGGGAACATCTAAAATTTGGGAAAGGAACAAGTTAAAGAGGCCCCTTGCGATGATCGCCTTTGCAGGCATGGGATCTGGTGCCACAGCCAATGCCTGGAGGGGGGCCATCCCGGGACGGGACTTCCGGCTCCGTGCATCCCTTCTCTGTGCCTTCGAGCAGGGCTCCCCGACCTTTTTGAGGCTGCAGGCCTCTTTGGGATCCCGACACGGCGTGGTGGGCTCAGCTGCAAAACGGCTGCCACAAAACACCGGCCGAAGCTCACCTTCGTCCGCACAGTGGAGACCTTTGTGCTGTGGTGGCAGCTGTGGCCAAAGCAGTGCTTTAAAAACAAATCCGCACCGCTAAGCAAATCTCCAGCGGCCAGTCAGAGGCCTTGCTCGGCACCACCTGACCCTGCCCATTTCTCTAAAAACACTTGGAAGGAAAGCTGTCAGGCACCGTGGTGCCCAGGGGCGCCACGTTGGGGACCCCTGTTTTAGCGCATCTTTTCCCTTGGCATTTGGGTGCATGTCGTTAACAGAAAGTGCCTGGCCTTTTTTTAAACCCCAAGTCATCCTTGTAAGCCTAACTCAGCATTCTTGGATGCATGAAGTGACTCTTGTAGTGGCTGTCAGTGGAACCCGAAGCACGGCTTGTTCAGAATGATCTGTCTTCTCTGTTTGCGGACCACATCTTAGTCATCAAGGTTACATTTTCTTCAGAGGTGAACACTGGCTCTGAGAACAGGCCGCAGTGAAGACCATTCTGGCCTGGCAGTGGCAGCATGAATCTCCTTGAAATGCTGCATGCGCTCCCGGCAAAATGGCAGTTTCAAGACCGCTCTAAGCAGAAGTGTCTTTATGTGGTTGTGACATGGTTCGTTGCTGTTCTGCCAACCAGGCGCTGACATTTTCATCATCCGCACTCCCTTAATTCTGCCGGACTTGAGCAGGACTGGATGTTGGCTTGGGGGGGGGGGGGGCCATCCTTTTTGAGCTGGCAGGTATCTCTGGAATGACGACACAATGTGGTGGGTGGGTCTACAAAATGGCTGCCAAAGGAGGTGGGGCCAGCCACAGAAGGGCTGCCACAGCTTCAGTCAAATGAGGAAGATCGTTGCGTTGTGGCGGCAGCTACTGTCAAAGCAATTTTTTTTAAAAAAGTATTTGCACAGCCAGTCAAATCTCCAATGGCCAGTCAGGAGGTTTGCTTGGCAAAAGCTTCACCTTGCCATGCCCACTTTCTAGAACCACCTGTCCGGCACCAGGAAAAGTGTTGGGGACCCCTGGCTTAGTGTACAACTAACCAGGGCTATTTCTGGGCAGGAACGCACAGGAACGGAGTTCCAACTGGCTCCCGAGTTGGCCACGCCCATCAGGAACTCATTAGCATAATAGGCCACACCCAATAGCAGAAACCCATTAGGATTGGCTACATTAGGGGTGTGTGGCCTAACATGCAAAGGAGTTCCTGCAACAAAAAAAAGGCCCTGGGTTTTGACCACAAACAAGGTAAACAGAATAAGAAGGGAAAGGTGGGTGTGGCTGGATGACCACACTTCTGGTAACATGGGGGTGCAGCCTAATGTGCTAATAAGCGGTGCTGTCAGGGGTGTGGCCTAATATGCTAATGAGTTTTGCTGTTGGGTGTGGCCTGTTATGCTAATGAGTTTCTGCTGGGCTTTTTCTACAAAAAGAGCCCTGCAACTAACTAATAACACACAAGTTGGGTGACGGCACAGTGTGCCTTTCTAGTTTTGTGCTCGGTGTAAAGCCATCTTTTTCTTGTCCTCCTTCCAGCGCCCAGCAACGGAACACCCAGGCGAATAAGAAAAGAGCCATCCCAAACCAGGTATTTATTGACACGCGCCTTCTCCTGTCCTAGCCGGAAGTCCTCTAGCGCTGGCAGGCTGAGTCCAGCTGCTCAGGCACCGTCTGCGTAGTTGGCAGGAGCCAGGGCATGGCACGGCCCCGCAGAGGGGAGGAGCTTGGCGCCCCGTGCCGCTTGCAGGCCGAGAGCAGCCGGCCTCCACGAGTTTGTTTGCTCCTGAGCTGCTCAGATTGGTATAAGCCCACTAGGTGCTTTCCCTTTGTGCTGTTTCCCTCCAAGCAAAAAATGCCGCCAGTTGGATTAGAAAAATCTCAAAAAACAAAAACAAAAAAACCCCCAAACCCTCAGAAGAACGTAACCCCAAATCCCTGATGCTGTCGGCCTGGACTCCCTTCTTGTTTCCGAGAGGCAGGGCGCGAGCGTGGGACTGGGAATGTAATTTTGTTGCACGAAGTTAGTCTGTATGCAGTGCCCACCTATGTTGATTCTTGTTTGGAAAGACTGTAATGAAACATTAACACTGTACAATTGTAATTAATAGCATGTAACTTTTTTTTTCCTTTTGCTGTTTTCTCTTGCTTTTCCTTCCCCCCCCCCCACACACCATTTTTGTGCTTTCTGCTCCCCCCCCCTTCCCCTTCTCACTCCATTATTTGGTTTTTTTTCACTGTTCTGTCACCTCGTCGTATTTTCCCTTATTTTACCTGCACCACTAATTTTGCCAACCTCTAAAGGGGGAGATACTGGTAAGTACCCGTATACCGTGCCTAGTGACTGATGCCGTGAAAACCTGGTGACGGAGACTTTCTCCCCCCCCCCCCCCCCCAAAAAAAAACCAGATTGGGCCGTTTCTCTGCCACGAACAAAGTGCACTTAACTGTTGAGAAAAGCCAAGTCCCTTCCAACAGCATTCCCGGAGATAACAGACCTTGGGAACCTTAGGTGACGCTGTGATAAAACTCAAAAGAGTTCTGCACAGCCAGCAAGTGTCAGAACCCACAGCCAACAACTGATCATTAGGTTCAAGAGGCAACTGCTATTCTTAACAGAATGTCAGAACCCACAGCCAACAACGGGAGTACACACTTCTTTAGAAAGGGGATGCTTTTATTGAAGAGCCATAGATGCATTAACATAGTCACTGTTAAGAACAGCAGTTGCCTCTTGAACCTAATGAGATATAGGGCATTCGTATGCACACCCCCCACTGCGCTGGCTAGAAGCAGCAAGCGTTACTATGCGAAGCTGGGAATATTTCAGCTCCCACGGCTGGCCACCTGTACTTCTTTAGAGATAAGCATTTCAGCGCTAAGCAGAGAGAAAGCAGAGAGAAAGGAATGCAAAGGCCATTTACACAGACACTGAAAGAACATCCCAACCGCAATGGCAGCATAGCTGACAGCAAGCGGGCAAAGAATGTAAACTGTAGATAGGGACTGTGGCTTCCCGAAGGTTGGTAGCGGCCTCGTCCGTTGGGGCTCCCGGTAACAGTCTCAGAGCTGGGCGGGGCGGTATTGAAGGCTCTTCTTGCGTACTGATCAAGAGAGGGCCATAGAATCAGAGTCATAAGAGGCCATACAGGCCATCTGGTCCAACCCCCTGCTCAATGCAGGGTCTCAGTCTGCGCGGCTAAGGCTGTAAGGCAGCAGTCGTGAGAGTCTGACCCACAGATCAAGCAGTCCACAAGACTTGCAAAAACGGTGCTTTCTGTATCTCATGGTCAACAAGCACTACAGCACAATGAACAAATTCCTTCAAATCATAAGAAAATCCTAGTGTAAAAATACATCATCAACGTTGTCTCCGGATTACATGATGGCGTTTCAAAATTGGATCTTCCTCAGGAAATATTAGAGTAGTACAAAAGCTCTCTTGCTCGTAATGTGCTTGACAAAAAGCCATGAAAGATAACACATTCAGACAAGACACTGATCTCAATAAGTATTCAGGCTCAAATATGCTGCTAAGCTTCTACCGAGAGTAGATCTGCGGGTCAGGGTGGAAGCGGCACGGGCTGTTTTTGCCCGGCTGGTGTCCGTGGTGACGTGAGCGGCTGCCAGCCAGGCTGTCTCCTCTCTGGCTATTTCTCGGCATGTCTGTTCCTTACGCCCAAACGTGCCTCTAAATCCTTGGTGTTCTACACCCCTCGGCATTGACCATTTGCATTCTATGGGTGTCTCCTCAAGCGGCCCCTGCCCCTAACACAGAGGGGCTTCTTAAAAGTAGCAGGTGGCCACGAAGGGCTCCCCGCTCAACTCCCCTCTCGTGGGAGCAGAGCACCGTAAGCATTGGAAGTTGGAAGTTGTCAAGGAGGATAGGACAACACCGTCTCAGCCCAAAAGGGAAGACTTAAGCCATCTCTCGTTCGCAGAGAGCCTCCTTTCTCTCTCTCTCTCTCTCTCTGGTGAGACTGGCCATTGGAAGAAGACTTCCTGCACTCTAGGCAGGGTTTGGCCCCACTCAGAAGGACTGCTGCTTTATTCACTCTGTATTTGGAGTGGCGATATTTGGGGTGGCGGAAATAGTCCCCAGCAGAAGGGATGTGTCTGGAATGGGCGTCTTCTGGAGAATGTCACCGCTTTGGCTTCCTGCAGCTCCTTCAGGCCACCCCAAGCTCTTGTCTTGAAGGAAGGGTGTTAATCAGAGTGCGATTAACAGAAGTGGGCATCATAAAGGGTGCATAGTGTGCGACATAATCACGTGGCACCGTGTGGAACTGTATTGCCTGTCCACTTCCACCCCAGAGGGGTGTGTCTCCATGTGGAGTCTTGAGTGAGTGCCAGCCTCCGACCTCATCGCTGCAGCGGAGAGGAGACCGAGTCCGTTGACACACATGCATTCGCACTCGTTTCCCTCGCTCGGCTAGGCCAATGCTGCTCTGTGCTTTTCCTTTAAGTGCACCAGTTTTGGAGAGAATTGGAACCCCCCCCAAAAAAAAAAATCTGTCTGGGAGGTGTTGTGGATGGTGGTCTTTGAAATCAAATGGGGACAGTCGTTGGCTGTGTGAAGAAATGGAATTGCCAGAAACTTTTAGATGGAAGAAATGTATGTTTTTAGAGTAGCACAGAGGAAACCGCTTCCCACTTCCCTCATTGAGATGGATTTCTCATGCGCTTCCTCAAAAAATGTTCGTCTTTAATGACGCGATGCCGAATTCATGTGCCCATGTTGCTAGTGCATCTTCTGGTCCGTCATCATCATTTGGCTTGATTGCGTTGGGGTGAGGGAGTCCTTTCTCTTCAGGGGCTGTTTCTACTAGCTGAGAAATCCTCGTCCTTAACTTGCATGTGGCGCTCCATTGACTTGCTCTGGCCTATCAGATCTCCAGCTTGTTTGAGCTTCTTAAAGAGTCTCAAAGTTCTGACGAATCCACTTTCACGATACTCTAAGGCTAATTCTGTGCACGCCGTGGAACAGCGATACTCAAAACACCAATGTGCTGCAAGAAATCATGAGTCATAGGAATCTAAAGCACCCGTCCACAGAGGCAGCTGCCCGCTATGTGCCTCTACGTGAGTTTGAGTTCTCTGGAGGGGCTCTCAGAACAGAGACTCATACAGAAATGCAGCGGGTGGCTCCTCTGAAGACAGGTTGCTCTTACTCAAAGAAAATCTCGGGAGGGGTGGTAACCCGAGAGTGCGGCGTGCCTCCGGTTTTAATTCGGCATGCAAACTACTAAAAGTGCAGGGAACTGCCAAAGAATCTCCCGAGGGACCCCACCTGCTTCCCGTACCTCCGATTTCCACGGTGGGGCTCGGTCTTTCCATTGCTGAGTGGGAGAATCGATTGTGCTGCAGGAACACGGTGGAGATCTGACTGGCGGGGCCGTGTCTAGTGAGCGTGGGGAGCTTCAAGGACCCCTCCCTCCCCCCCACCTGTCCTGCCTCATCCAGGTTCTCTGTCGGCCTGAGTAAAGGATGGGGGGTGGGCTGGGGTCGCCTGAGCAGATCTGGAAAGGTGAGGGGGTGTCGGAGGGGTCCCACTTAGCCTGCACTTCTTGCATCGGCTTGGGAAGCTGAACCGAACCGTACTTTGGGCCAGCTGCCGTTCCCTTTCCACAGCTGCTCACCAGTCCCTCCTGTAGTCGCTGTAACCCTCTGTCTAAGTCTTCCGCCATAGCTACGGGGCATGCTCGCCTTCTTCCACTTACCCCTTAGTGCCTCTCCAGTGTGCTCGTTACTAATCCGTGTGGCAATGCTAACTTGGACAGGACCCTCCCGGGGGGGGGGGTGTCCATGTCCCGCCGGGGCTCCTGCAGCTCAGCCCAGCTCTTGTCTTGCAAAGTCGGGTGATCGGAGGAAGGGTTGATCATGCGGCGGCCGGCCCGGAGAGCGGGATACGAATCGCTGCCTGAAGAAGGAAAAGGCTTCTTAAAACCCTGCTGGAGAACGGAGTGAAAACGAGGGCGTGCTTGTTGCATCGTGGGTTCAAACTGAAACAAAGCTGCTGCGATCAGAAATAGGGCCCGACTGGCAATCCCATTAGATTGCACCAAGTCGCAGGTGGCGCGATGCACCTCTTCCTGGGACCAGTGTTCTCTCTAAGATGAGTTAGCGTGAGCTAACTCAGTTTTTTTAGCCTCTGGCTGACACATTTTTGTCTTAGGAAGCAGGGCTCCAGAGCAAACGAATTTATTCAGTAGGCAAATTGCTCGCTCACCACTTTAATGCCAGTCGCTCACAAAGTAGAATTTTTGCTCACAAGACTCCACAGCTTAGAGGGAGCATTGCCTGAGACCCTGGAGGGCTGTGCTGCTGGTCCCAGTATAGACAGTCCTGACCTGGATAGACCGAGGTTCCGACACATGAGCACATGAAGAACTCACCTGAAGCTGCCTTATACTGAATCAGATCCTCGATCCAGCAGGGTCGGTATTGTCTGCACAGACTAACAGCCGCTCTCCAGGGTCTCAGACTGAGGTCTTTCCCATCACTTCCTGCCTAATCCTTTCAACTGGAGATGCCGGGGATTGAACCTGGGACCTCCTGCATGCCAATCAGGGGCTCTTCCACTGAGCCGCGGACCCTCCCCATATAAGGCAGCCTCGTGACTGTACTGCTGACATGTGACACTGGGCAGGACGCTTCCAGCTGCCCTGTTGGCCCCAAGAAAAACCAGCGTATTTTGGCCGTTTCCTGATGAAATCATAGTTCTCCTGCGCAGTTTGCAGAAGCACTTGTTGACCAGTATGGTTTTGGGGAAATGGCCGCTCCCGCCTCTCTTCGAAGGGCTTTGTAAACTCTGCAAGTTAGTGAAGTCTGGCAGAAGCAGCGGCTGCCCCCCCCCCCACCCCAGCGCTCATCCTACTGGGAGCTGCTTTGCTAAGCTTTATTCCGGAAGCTTCCGGCAGGTGGGTGACAGCCACCGCATCTTTGCTTCCATTCTGGGCTTGGGGGGCCTGCTTGCAAAAGCCATCTTTTGGGACGCCGTAAGGGGGAAACGAGGTACTGCTGATCCGTGGCCGGTTTCCAGAGCTCAGCGTACGGCGCAGCAGCTCCCGTTGAGTCTGGATGAGCAACCGGGTGGGTCAAAGCGTCTGCCCTGGTATTGGCTGTCTCTTGGCATCGCGTTCCCTGCCCGAGTGTAGAGCAGCTGCTTTTAAGCCTTGTTCCCTCTGGGGAATCTGTCCCATGTCGGCTTACCCCGTGCAGTGTGTGTGATTCTGGAGCACGCGCTGGAGAGTTACGGTCATTCTTCTCTGGCTCTCAATTGCAGGGTAGCGGGGGTGGGAGGTAGCAAGCTGTCTCCTAAGGAAACACGTTGGTCGTTCTTGATCTCAAGCAGTAGAAGCTTCCGGGAGTTCCCTGGACACTCAGGGTGCGAGAGAAACGGCTTAGGGAAGAAGGGCCGGAAAGGAACGTATTCAGAACATTCAGTCTTGGGACATTTTGCCTTTAAAATGGCTTCCAGGGTAGGGTTGCCAGGCCTGGATACTTGGGGGGGGGGGGTGTACTTTGGGTGTGGATCCGGGAGAGGGCGGGGTTTGGGGAGGGGCCTCAGCAGGGTACAGTGCCACAGAGTCCACCCTTCAATGCAGCCGTTTTCTCCAAGGGGGGGGGCTGATCTCTGTCAGCTGGAGATCAGTTGCAAAAGTTGGGGGTCTCCAGGCCCCACCTGGAGGATTTCAGAGTGACGGTGCGCTGTCGCCCTGAACGTCCCCCAGATCAGTTTTGCAGTGGAGCAGGGAGAAAAGCGTCAGTATCGACGCTTTCACGGTGGAGTCCATTTGCTCTTCGCCGCGCTCTGTGTCCGAAAGGTTGACGTTTGGCTGTAACACAAAGGAGCGAAAGCCCAAGAGTGCATGGACCTCACCACAAAGAGTAGCGTAGAATCCCCCACCTGAAGCGTCTGGAAAGAGACGAGGTCATTCAGTCAGGCGTCGTTCTTTCCCCATCCCTTCCCGGTTGCGAGCTGCTACGGACATCGCTCTGGGAACCTCACTTTGGCTTCTCTTCCTCCTTGCCAGCGTGGGGTCACCAACTTCAGGTTGGGAAGTTCCTGGAGATTTGGGAGTAGAGCCCTGGGGGCAGCGGGGTTTAAGGACGGGGGGAGAGCACAGCAGCAGGGGACAGTGCTGTAGAGGCCCCCATCCAAAGCAGCCCTTTTCTCTGGGGGAACCGATCTGTTACCCAGAGAGCAGTTGTGATTCCAGGGATCTCCAAGCCCCCCCACCTGGGGGTCAGCAGCCCTACTGCTGCAGCAGCCAGTGCACACCAACAGTCCTGCTTTCCGTGGCCGCTCACTTCTGAATTTGCCACCTGCTTCGCCAGGCTTGAGATTCCTAGGGTTGATCTGTGGTGAAATTAAATTTAGAAGTTCCACCTGGAAGGGATTCTCCCTGGTGAGATGCTCCCTTTGCTGAATATCGGTGGTCCTCCTTAACTGGGTGATTGTGAGCCGTGGAATCCCTGCCCAGCATGTCTGGAACACAGTCTCAGTTCACAGGGTAAGCATGACTCGAGTTTCTAGTCCTCCTAAGTTCACGGCACTGTAAATCGGTATACTGGAAGGCCGTTCCGGTTAGTGAGGTTCCAGTCCTTATCTGAATTAGTGTACTGAGCCTGGCACAGGGTTAGACACATCCCCCTCCACCGTGTGTTTTTTCCTCTTGCAAGATAGCCTGTAACCTGTCCGACCTTCCTCCCCCCTCCCCTTTCCATCCTCCCCTCCCGTTCCTCGATTTCCTCCAGGTGATCCGGCGCGGCTGGTTGACCATCAACAACATCAGCATCATGAAAGGCGGCTCCAAGGAGTACTGGTTTATCTTGACGGCCGAGAGTTTGTCCTGGTACAAGGACGAGGAGGTACGCAGACGTCGCGGTGACGGAGGATATTCGGGTTACGCCCTAGAAGCCAAGTCTGCATCGCACCAACGTGCGAGCGGGCATTCGAGACCCCCCCCCCCATCGCCTCTGAAACAGGCCACTCACTATGTTGACGTAAACATTTTGCTCCAGAAGTGAATTTCCGGCATGAAAAGAGGTGTAGCGTTTGAAGAGTACCCCCCCCCATGGGTCGTCCTCCCCCCATAACACATGCACACTCCCTTTGCTCTTGGTCTTCAGAGATAACTGTCAGGCTCCCTAGCCATCATAAATCAGTGGCCATCATACTGCAGGTCATTCCTGACATTTTTCAGGCTCCCTAGCAAGATCACACCACACACAAAGGCTTCTTGAGAAGATAAAGTGTTTTATTGGTAGTCCAGTACTAAAGAACGAGTATACATCTTGTGTCAGGAATGACCTGCAGTATGATGGCCCCTGACTTATAGTATAATCAAACTCTCCCCCCCCCCCAAGCAAAAGCCACTGAATATATTTCGAGTGCGCGGACTGAAGCTCGCAAGCAAGCGGCCGAGCGCCCAAGCCGTTAACGTTCCCAGGCAATAAGCAGCTGGGAACTATAACAAGGTCGGGCCAGAGATAGCAGCCAGAAGCGAGACAGAGGTGAGCTGGGAACAAAGAGGAGGTGCACCCCTCCACATTCCAGCTCTACGACAGGGCCACCTGACATCAACGTGATTAACTCATTTGAAATTCGAGTCCCTGTCTTGCTTTATTGCTGATGACACTGTCGTTGTTGAGATCCGAAACTGGACTTTGCAAGTTACTGAAACAGGTTATTATTTATGGTACTTGGGAAGGGTCATCAGTGAATTATCTCAAACAAGGATTTTCTTAAATTAAAAAACCCTTGTGTACGAACTGTAGGACCTGGAGCATCAGTGGGGAGAAAATAGAATGCCTGGCCCCTTTTAAATACTTGGGGATAATGTTTCATTGCCCTGACCTGTGTGGCCCCATTTAGCCTGATCTCGTCAGATCTCGGAAGCTAAGCAGGGTGGCTCGCCATGGCCTGCCCCCTGCACAGGGTGGCTCGCCATGGCCTGCCCCCCTGGTTAGCATTTGGATGGGAGCCCTCCAAGGAACGCCAGGGTCACTGTGCAGGGGGCAGGCCATGGCGAGCCACCTCTGTCTCTCTCTCGCCTTGAAAGCCCAATGTGGTCGCCATAAGTCAGCCGTGACTTGACAGCGCTTCCCACCACTACCACCGTTGAGTTATCCCGCTTGGAAAACTCATATCCACTCAGCCACAAAAATGGCTAGAGTAACCATAAATGCTTTTGAGGGGTTTTATTTGCAGCAGGGAGGGGTCATTTCCAGCAGGAGCGCACAGGAGTGGAGCTCCAGCAGTAAAGAGCCCAGGGGGCGGGCACATGCAACAAGCCCCACCCCCTGCTCCCAGCAGCCCTCAGTCAGAGCAAGAAGCAGCCAGGTAAGTTGCAGAGCCCCCCCCCCCCAGGCCCAAAACAATCACGACGCA